AATGCGTACTCAGACAAGTCGTATATGAAATTTACCCCATAACATATAAAATTCGCATCATTATACTTACCTTGCCATCAAGCCCATGTAAACTCTGCACGTTAGTCGTCACGTGATAATGCAATAATAATAATTAAATAACACATCGCAATTGCTCAAACGCTGACCACACTTGCACGCAATCCATCTTACTAATTCAACCACACATTCAACCAGTCAATTCAATCACACACTCAACCAGCCAATTCAGTCACACTCAATCAGTCAATTCAATCACACACTCAACCAGCCAATTCAGTCACACTCAACTAGTCAATTCAATCACTTTCAATTTGCATGCATGGCCGAACATCTTTCGCACGACCCGCGCCACTGCGCCTCAGGTCCATTCTCATTGCCCGCGCCACTGCGCCTCAAGCCTAATCTCACAGCCCGCGTAAATACGCCTCAGGCTCAATTGGCACACCGGCCATTCATGCTTTCACACGGACCACCGTCAACACGTCCCAAGTCCGTAGCCCTCCGATCAATCCGGGCTCAATTCTAATGACCGACGTAAACACGTCCCGGTCCAACACACCCTTAACGGGCCACCGTCAACACGTCTCAAGCCCGCATCCATTTGGCACACCGGCCATTCATGCCTTCACATGGACCGCCGTCAACACGTCCCAACTCCGTAGCCCTCCGATCAATCCGAGCTTATCTCATGCACATGCACCACAACACAATTCGAAATTCTCACAAGTCGTTCCAATCAAACTCAAGGCATGCTCACCACAATATTCCACCAACCCGACCTTCAAGTCGGTCACATTCAGCTATCAATTCCACTCACAACCGCCACGATAAGCCAATCATTGACTCACCACAATAGCCACAAATATGCACCCACAATCATCCCAATTTCAAATCACAAGCTCACGATTCCGACATTCAAGTCAACACATTCAATTAATCCAATTCACCCACAAGCGTCACGACAATTCAGTCATGCTATTTATCTCAGTCAATCACTAAATTAGCCACACAATTACCGCCACAATAATTTACAAATTGAGCACAATCAGTCAAATTAGCCCACGCCTAATTTAATTCCTAACCCGGTACCAAGCACATCCTAAACAAGTCTAAAAATACCCATAGTACTAAATAAGGAATAGGAGGTCATTTACTTGGTTTTGGCCAGGAGAAAATCGGCTCGAGCCTAAAATGGCCTGGGTGAACAGTGACAAACTAGGCGCGGGCGCGGGCCAACCGGTGCGTTGGCCGGCCAACACGAGCACGGTGGCCGATCTGCGTGCCTCAGCGCGCGGCGCGGTGGCCGAACAGCGTGCCGGGGCGCACGGGCGAGCCGGGACGGGCAAGGCGTCGAGCCGGACGGCGAGGTGCCGGGCGGTGGCACAGGCGAGCTCGGCCACTTTGCTGGCCGGCTCAGCTGCTCGGCCACGATCAGCTAACGGCGATGGCGCCGGTTGCTAGCTGTTCCGCGAGCACGGCGGCCGCAAGTAGCCGGCAAGGTCGCCTGGGGCCGGGGTGGTGGCGGGATGGAGCGGCGGCGCGACCAGGAACTAGCGATGCGCGGCGGTTGGGTGAGGCGGCGCCGGGAGAACCCAAAACAGGGGAGGCGTCGGGGAGGAAGAAAAACAGGGGAATGGAGGTGGTGGCGGCCAAGGGGGAGCGGCAGGGCCGCAGAGGTGGCTAAGGGGAGAGACTGGGTGGCGAAGCGGCGGCGGTTGGAGCGGCGGCTCGCGGCGGCGAAGCCAAGGGCCGAAACAGGGGGAAGGCGCGGGGAGATAGAAATAGGGGAAGAGAGGGAGGTCACGCGGCGGTCGGAGGCGGCACAGCGGCGCCGCGGGTGGCCGGGCAATGGAGGACAGGCAGCGGACGGGTGGGCAACGCCGAGCCGCGGCGGACGCGAGCGGCAAGTTCTTTGCTCGCGTGTAGCGCGAGCGGCGAGGCCCGGCGGCAGTGAGCGAGGGCCGGCCAGCGTCGGCGCGGCTCGGTCGGGCGACAGCGGCGCAAGGCGGGCGGCGATGGGCGATGGTGGCTTTGGTCCGACGCGGCGAGTAGTGTCGAGCAGCAAGAACGGGGAAGCAAGAGCGCCAGCGGGGAAGAAGAAGAAGAAAAAGATGAAAAAGAAAAAGAAGAAAAGGAAGAGAGAGAGAGGAGCATGGATAGGCCTGACTAGGGGAAAAAGGGCACAGATGTGCGCAGGGGGAGGTGACCGGAGAGAGAGAGAGAGAGAGAGAGAGAGAGAGCCACAAAGTAAAACGTCATCGTCGCGATCCAATTGCCTACGATCGAACTCGAAAACGATCTAACGATCCACAAAAATCCTAATTGATATTTTAAGAAAAATGGCCAAAAGAAAATAACCCAAAACACATTACGAGAGAGGTTTACTAGTCCAAATCCGCACCCGGTCAAAAATTCACTTTTCACATATCCCAGGTAATCTCGAGACTGGCCACAATCATATCAACACCGTCCAATTAAATTCGTCCCGAAACTCCAAGAAATTCGACACCAAAGTTTGGGCTCTAAATAACGGCCAAATTCGATCGAGTGCGATTCTAGTGAAATCTCAATTTTAAAATAATAACCGGGAGTGATCAGTTCCCGGGCGAAATTTTTACTATAAGCACACTGACGAATTACACGTTTTATAAATCCCAACTATGGGCCGAAATTCGGGATGTCACACCAGGCGGTGAAGCCCTTGTCACTGCTGCCCCACCATCACCGGAAAGGACCGGCGAGGATGGGGGATGGCCTGTAGGGGTCGCCGGGCCCCGGCCAGTGACCGACAACCCTCGCCTAAATCGGGCCAAGGTCACCGACCCTCACCCAAATCTAGCTGAGGGCCACCATTGGCGACCAATCCCTGCTAGCGGCGACCCTCGCCTGGTGTTAGTGAGGGTTGCCGACCATAACCAACCCTCGCTAGCATTTTCCGGCACTGGTGGGCGGCAGCGGCAAGGAGTATATATGCACTAATTTATTGCCCATTATTCTTTTTTTTCTTTTTTTTTAATAACAAGGAGTATCCAAATATTGCAGCTTGACTAGTCCCTACGGATACATACAATCCATCCCGTCCTCTCTCTTTGTTATTTTATTATTTAATTGTAACTCATTTGTACTTAAAAAACATTTTTTTATTTTAGTATAATAACACAATTTACAAATTTTCTTATATTAATCAATAGACAGAAGTTTCTATAAATCATATTTATTCATTTCAAAGGTAGTATAACATTGCACCATCTCGGCGAGGTCGATCTCAAAGACAAGACTCGAAAGCCAAAAGTGGCTCCGCGGTGATGTCGTTCATGCAAGTTTTCATCGATTGGGAGGAGACTCCGACCGTACATGTGTTCAAAGCCGACATTCTTGGATTGAGCAAAGAGAAGGTGAAAGGTCGAGCAGAGAAGTATTCTTCAGATCAATGGAAAGAGATCCGGGAGAGACACGACAGAGTGGCTCTGGAAGACGCACATTTAGCTTCTGCTCGTTAAGGTGCCAGAGGAGGAGGTACGGAGAGCTGCCTGCTGTCATCCACAGCGTGTCGAACTAGAGAAAAAAGGCATTGGCTAATGATCCATTATCCACTTCTTCTCACTTATACCCACCCCACCTTCCTCCATAGTAATGAAAATGCAATGATGAAACAATTTTCTTTCTCAAGTTTCATTTTCATTCCATCTCATTCTAATTCACCAAGCATTGGCAAGAAAGAGAATCATGATCATAATTTCACCCAGCTGGTTTTACTCCCGATAACCAAACAAGCCTTTAATGATTTGAAACTCTCCGCATCAGTAGGGATTTTGAAATGGTAAACAAACTGATACCATATTTGTCAAAGACATCCAAGATTTGTGTATTTCTGCTATAATTTGAAAGGTTGGGAAGAACTTCAAGGACCAAATTTTTCATTAAATTAGCCATATGTTATGCTCTCTCTCTCTCTCTCTCTCTCTCTCTGCCCACTGGCCAGTGAAAACCTACCTGAAAGTTCCATCTCCATATGGTATTTACATATACATAAACCATTGACCTAAAACGCCAGTTCCACCATGTGCTCCTAGGCTGCTACATTATGCTGAAGCTTCTTCCCTAATAACAGGCGAGAAGCTGCTGATGATATGTCTACTCTTGTCCCCCCAGCACAAACCCATGAGATCTTCCAGTCACCAACTTCCATTCAGATTTCGTCTGTTCTGAATTCCCTGTAGCCGCAAGCCAAACTTAACCCGGCAAGCTCTTCCTTTCATAGAACACCTTTCCCTCGCAGGCTCAACGCACGCTTCCCGCTCTGAACCTGGATACTAGAATTCTCTGCTCTCCATTCACATTTACTCAAGGAGTCGAATAACAAATGATTCTGCTAAAAACAGCAGGCACTCATAAATGATTGGATTGGGATAAGCCATATTAGGTTAAAGGTGAGAAGTTGACCAAGGATCAACAGAATTGTGCACCGATGTCCCATACCAACGCAAAAAGCTCAAGCTGAACAAAAGTCACCTAAAACAACCTATTTGTGATCTTAAACCAAGATGAAGATGCCAAAATCAATAACCACGTACAATCATTACTAGATCCTTTCTATCCAGCTTGCCCTCTCTGCCATCTGTGTTTTGAGATAGATGTCCCTTTTGGTAGTTATTGTGTCAATGCTTTCATTTGAGTAGAGGGGCATCCATGTCATCTGGGGTGTGTCATACGCATTACATCAGCAAAAAAAAAACGATTGAAATGTTCTAGATAAAAATGTGAGTCCCAGGAAAATGGAACTGATAATTTCGAGCTCAACGCACGCTTCCCGCTCTGAACGAGAATATACTAGAATTCCCTGCTCTCCATTCACTCTCTCCATTCATATTTACTCACGGAGTCAAATTACAAAAGATTCTGCCAAAAACAGCGGGCACTCAGAAATGATTGGATTGGGATAAGCCATATTAGGTTAAAGGGCAGAAGCAGACCTAGGGTCAACAATACTGTGCACTGATGTCCAATACCAACTCATAAAGCTCAAGCTGAACAAACATTACCTAAAAACAACCTATTTATGATCTTAAACCAAGATGAAATAAGAAGCCCAAATCAATAACCACTTACAATCATTACTGGATCCTTTCTAACCAGCTTGCCCTCTGTGCCATCTGTTTTGAGATAAATGTCCCTCTTGGTAGTTATTGTGAGGATGCTTTCATTTGAGTAGAGGGGCATCCATGTCATCTGGGGTGTGTCATACGCATTACATCAGCAAGAAAACAATTGAAATGTTCTCGATACAAATGTGAGTCCCAGGACAATGGAACTGATGATTTCGAGTTCCCCAACTGTAATAAACTCATGCACTCTGGGCTAGTTTAAAGACTAAAATCTGTATAGTGTTGCCTCTCAGATTAATCTGAACCTAAGAAACAATTCCATGAAGAAGAGTCTGTATGAAACATACAAGGCTCATAGTCTTTCTCCGCAGGTGAGGAGTAAAACATCGGTAAATGGGTGCTTTCCTTAACTACTCTCTGAGCTTGAGCAAAAGAGGTGAACTTCTTACAGTCAAATGAATTGTAAATTTGGGTACTATAGACACCTATTTGTGATGATAAATCTCTCATTCGGTATTGTTACCTTGCCCAAGCATGTCTTGCACTAAATGCAGTATAATGCAGTAATTGTATCTACATCTCCTGCATGACATGCCAGACAACCAGCTGTGTGGGGGGTTCGTTCACATGTGAGAGCTACCAACCGTGCCCCTAAATTGTGCTTATGTATACCGTCTAAGAATTGGAGATGCCTTTGAGACAAGAAAATTCCTTGCAGTGCCTCCAGATTATCCAGATATCTTTGGAGTTAGATCAATCCAAATTTACAGGAAATGACTAAGTCGCCAGTTGAATGAGAAAGACTGGATGGATTGGTGAGAGAGGAAGGAATATGAGGATCTGATGACCTGAGAGGTCGTGCAAGGACGCTTGTTTATGGCACTTGGTTCCACTTTTGATAGATGGAGGACTCAAAAAACTATTGGTGTCAAATTTTCAAATTGCAGCTCCAGCAACTGTGGCACCAGTTTGCCACTCAATTTTGCAGTGGACTTCAATGATGTCACCCTCCACAGCTGTATGGTTTTGATTGTGTCCGAAGAGCCACGTAAATAACTGAATGTCCACTCCAGGAGCACAGGACCTCAACTGTTTATTGAACGCTCCATCGCGAGCTTTAATGCATCCTGTACTTGCTGTGTGCTTTCTGCCTCGCATTCACTAACATGCAGCACTTCCAAGGAGGTTAACTCCATGAGGCCTTCAATATCAGAAATCATCCTGCATCTTTGGACAACTAGGACATTCAACATCTTCAAGTTTGATATATTGGGCAATCCACCAAGTGAATCACAGTCCGACAAAATCAAACTTCGTAAATCTGTTAATTGGCCAAGCCCAGTGAGATTACGTATTTCACAGCGCGTTATATTCAAGATTTCCAGAGCAATTAGTCCTTGAAGCCCCTTAATCTCTTCTACCGCAGATTCAATGAGATTTAGTTCTGATAGTTTTTTCAGATGGTGAACTGCTGGCAATTGTCTCCAAGATGAACATCGTCGAATAGATAAAACGGACAATGACGAGGGAAGTTCCGGCACATTTTCAAGATTCACACCAGATAGAACTAGCTTCTTAAGATGTGTACATGAAAGGGAACCATGTCCAAGTTGCAGTTCACTGACTCGAGAATGAGACAACTCTAACATCTTCAGTTTTGGAAGTACTATGGGCACAACTAAGAGATCATTCGATCTGGATTTTGGCTCCATCCGTGTTGAGGGATGTATGAGTTCCTTAGGATCTTTATCACCCAGACATATCTCCTCCAACTTCACTAAATCTTTCAGATCTGGCAAGGCCTCCATCCTTTCAGAACTCACACGTAGACAAGTTAAACTGGAGGGAAGCTCCGGCAGCGCTTGAATCTCGTTGCACCAAAGTAAATCAAGAGTCTGAAGACAAGAAAGACTTCCAATTTCCGAAGGAATGCCAGAAATACTGGAATGTCCCAATCTCAGTATCCTCAGACGATCTAGACTCTTAATAGCAGTTGGAACGGCTCCCTTCAAACTCCTACAATGGGAAGCATGTAACTCTTCAAGGTTGACCAAATTTCCAATTTCTCTAGGCAATTCTCCAATGAAGCAAGAATCCATTTTTAACACTTTTAAACGCCCCAAGCAAGTAATTAAATTGGGCAATTCAGATATGCCTGTCCCTGTTATATCCAACTCCTCTAATGAGTTTCCCAAATTGCAAATTGAATCCGAAAGTCTTCCTATCCAACGACAATCCTTCAGAGACAGGATCCGAAGTTTCCCCAGCTTTTCAACTGAGGCAGGGATTCGAGTAATTTTTGCTTTTTCCAGTGAGAGTTCTAAAAGAGCTGTCAAGCCACGAACTGAATCAGGCAGGCGACTTAGTTGGAGACAGTTGGAGGCACTAAAAACCTCAAGTTTCTCCATGTAACCCATTGACACAGGAATTTCTTGTACCGAAGTCCCATCAATATGGAGCTCCTTGAGAGCTTTCATGTGACCCAGTTCAATTGGCAACATATTGAGTTCATCGCAGAACCTCAAATTTAAGGAAGTTAAGCGTTTTAGATGACGGATGGAAGGGTCTAACTTGATTAGTCGAGAACATCGTTCGAGAATCAATATCTCCAAGTCTGGGAAAGAGGACAAGTCAGGGCTTATCAATAGGTCAGCACAACCAGTAAGATTCAAGACTTTTAACTGTGGCATCTGCAAAAATAACACACAAACATTACTCCTACTCTGAACAAATCTTTAAAGGAAATAAAGTCTGAGGCTCTGTGTTTTGAAGAAAAACAATTTTCGAAAATATGTTTTCCAATCTTACAATCCTGGCATAGTTCAGGAAGATTTCTCATTGAAAATGTTTTCATAGTCAAAGAAGATGCTTATTTAGATTCTGAAGAATGACTTGCCCTTTCAACAACCACAAAATCATTCCCCTTAACTCACTCAACCTAAGATTCCACCACCACCATCGTCCACACAACCTCTAATTGTTGTTGGCAGGCAACCAATTATTTCCTTAAGTATTTCAAAAGTAATATTCAGTTCTTACATTCCATATGCCGGAAAGTGTCGCATCTTAAATCAGTCTTCATAAAGAGCTTTCTGCTGAAAACTTATTCATCAGGGAAACATTTTAATGAAATAAACAAAGCTTAATCTACCTTGATTTCACTCCAGCCTCCCCAATCTTCAGTGACTTTGCTCCATGAAAGATCAAGAACGACTAATTTCTCGACATGAAAATTAGTAGCTTCAAAATCTCTGGTGCATCCTTGCCACTGGAGCCACTTTAAATTTGGAAGAACATCGGCAAAATCACCAGCAACTTTTGCACAATCCAAGATAAGAAACCTTATGTTTGGCATGCCCTTAAAATCTTCTGCAACAAAGTTGAGGTGGCCTGTCCCCTATAATGGAAAAAGTATCAAGTGGAGAAAAAATGAGAAGAGCCAAATAAGTCAACATTAAAGAGAAAGGACAAATTCTCAACACTCCAAGGCTCGAGAACAGGGTAAGGCACACATTCCGCTATAGAATTACACAAGATACTGTACCTCCGTCTTCTCTGTATTCCAGGCCAATTCCAAATTACATAACCTGCCTCGCGTTCCTGGATCTAGATCATCCTCTTTTCGTATGATTTGTTGGCCAAACTCCCTTAACAACCTGTGCATCCCTAGTTCATGATTTTTTCCAATTTTTACCAGGGACATGACATGGAGTGCAGCAACTCCGTCGAAGGGGGGAAATTTTGGATTATGCCACATAAATGAAGCAATTCGACAATCCACATCAGCAGGGAGGCATGCAATATCAAGAAATATCTCTCTTTGCTCTTTGCTCAATTCTTCATAACTAACTTTCAAAATCTTTTCAATATCCAGGCCAAATTGCAAAATTAGCTCCTTAAGTGCAGTCCATTCTTCTACTACTTTTCTGGACAAAAGTGAACCAATTACTTCGATAAGTAATGGGATCCCATTCACAGAGTTGACTATACCCTTTGCAATTTCATCAAAAGCTGGAACTGAAAGATTTCTTCGCAGTGCATGCTTTCTGAAAAGCTCAAGAGCTTGATCATTATTCATCACGTTGATACCGTAAACATAAGCCAACCCTCGAGATATGAACTCTGGAATAACAGACACGATACTGGTGGTGACAATTATCCTAGATCCATAACCAAACCAATCAAGCTTCTCTCCAACAATTTCATGGAGATGTGACCGTGCCACCACATCATCCAGAACAATTAGGACTTTCAAATTCCGTAATATTCCTTTAAAAAAATCGATTCCTTTCGCAACTTGATCAACTTCATATTCTCGGTTTAGGATATCAGACATCAACTTGCTTTGCAAAAGCCGAACACCTCCAAGTTGTTTCGCTGTTGCCCCAATATCTGCAAGGAAACTACAACTGTCGAACTGAGAGGAAATTTGCTCATAAATGACCTTGGCAAGAGTCGTCTTGCCGACCCCACCCTTCCCCCAGATTCCAACTATTCGTACATCACTGACTTCTAAATCAAGTAAATCCATCATTTCCTCCACTTGTCTGTTAACTCCCACGGGATATTCGATAGCGACATGTGCGCTCTCCCTATATGAGTTGCCAATAAGTACCACTGGTTCTTTTGCTTCGTCTTTCTCTCGAACCTCCTACAATAGCAAAAAAATTGTAAACAAGAAAGCTGCTGCGGGAAGTGAAAAAGTGAAACAATTGTACTTGATTTTCCTTTTGTTTCTTGCTGCACTTCAGAAACAACACAGAAAACCACTACCCATATCCTAGTAAATGATCCCACCTACGTTGATACAACACTTCGACCGTTCAACAAGTTAGGATATAGCATTGAATGGAATGTAATCAACCTTCGGATGATTAAACTCCATTTGCAATATTATCCCAATCTCTCTAGAGATAAAAAAAAAAATCATCAAAAATCATGACTGATTACTTCCATTACTGGATCTCTAAGGTAAGGTTGTTTGCCATGCCATGCATACTCCTACATATAGGACTAGTGTGAATAGTCTTACATCTCATAATTAAGCTGAACGCTCTACCAAGGAAATATACTCGAGCAATTTCCGTGATCAACTACTGACGATTAGAACCGAGAGTCACATGAGTTTATTCGCATGCACACAGTTTACCTTCAGCATTACCACGATATCTTCAACTACTTGTCTGATAATGTGAGACGGCCTGCAGCAGAAGTGAACTGTTTCAGTTAGAAAAGAAAGGCCGCGAGTTTAACATTTGAAAATTAGTATCTGACAAAGCAACAACCACTCCTATTGAACTGCGGATCAACTATTTGAAGTTTCTTTCTACTTAAAGTGCAACATCAAAAACAAAGAAATCAGTTTGTTCTATTGGAGTTTAGCATTGCTATTCTAGAAAATGATTCATGAGTTGCAAGCCTTCCTGTAATAACATCTGGCCCTTTTACCTGCTAGATCTCGTGTCCCATCCACGTAATGAACCAACCTCTGCAAGAGCTTCTTCCCACGCACTTACTTCCTTGGACCCGTATCCAACCCTGTGCTCCAATAGGGCATCGTGGTACAGACGGGTTTTAAGCTTAACATCCTGAGGTTCCACATCGTAGAATACGGGGATGATCGTTTTCCTGCCATCCGACTTATCGTTGTTCTTCACCATTGCCGCAAGCTCCCGGAGACACCACGCACTGTAAGCGTAGCTTCTGGAGAAGATGGGGATGTAGATCTTGGCTCTGTCGATTGCTCTCAGCAGCTCCTGGCCAATATCTCCACCGGGTGGAAGATCTTCGTTGTCTTTGAAGAAGCAGATTCCGCCATCAGCCAAGCTATGGCAAAGGAAGTCGACGAACACAGAGCGAGTGTCGGCTCCTCTGAAACTCAAATACACATCGGCATAGTCGGTACCCAAGGCGACGTCTCCGCCCTTTGCTTCTGCATCTGCTGAGTCCTTCCCCTTCTTCATTGCGATATTATCCCAATCCCTCTAGAGATACAAAAACCATAAAATAATCATGACTAATTCCTTCCGTGTCCGGACCTCTAAGGCAAATTTTGTTTCACATGCCATGAATCTCCGATATATAAGACGAGCGTGCATAGTCTTACATCTCATACGTAAGGTGAACACTCCACCAAGGAAATATATTCAAGCAATTCCCATGATCAACTACTGATAATTAGAAATAAGAGCTACTTAAGAGATTATTCACGTGTACATGGTTTACCTTCAGATTGATCACGATTCCTGTGACTTCTCTGACAATGTGAGACGGCCTGCAACAGAAGTAAGCCGTTTCAGTTAGAAAAGAAAGGGCGCGGGTTTTAACATTTGGGCTGATACTATATGACAAAGGAATAATCAATCCTATTGAAACTGCGGATCAACTATTTAAAGTTTATTTCTACTTAATGCGCGAAGGAGTCACATTGTTCTATTGGAGTTTAGCATTGCTATTCTAGAAAACGATTCGTGAGTTGCAAACCCTCCTGTCATAAATTCTGGGCCTTTCACCTGCTAGATCCCGTTTCCCATCCGCGTAATGAAGCAACCTCTTTAAGAGCACCTTCCCACGCCCTTACTTGCTCGAACCCGAATATCCTCTCGAGCCCCACTAGTGCATCGCGGTACCGAGGGGTTTCAAGCCTAACATCACGAGGTTCCACGTCGTAGAATATGGGGATGATCATTTTCCCACCACCCGATTTGACCTTGCTTTCCACCATTGCCGCAAGCTGCCGGAGATACCACGTACTGGTAGCGTAGTTTTTGGAGAAGATGGGGATGCAGATTTTCGCGCCGTCGATTGCTCTCAGAAGATGCCGGGCAGCTTCATCGCCGAGTCGAAGTTCATCGTCGGCGTCTATGAAGACGCGGATTCCAGCATCAACCAAGCTCTGGTACAGGAAGTCCACGAATACAGAGCGAGTGTCGGCTCCTCTGAAACTCAGGTACACATCGTCGCAGTCGCTGCTACCCGAGGCGGCGTCTCTGCCAGTCGCTGCTTCATCTGCTGAGTACACCGCCTTCTTCATTGCAGGATCAGAATGAGAAGGATGGCAAGCGACCTGGGGCGAGCCGGTGAGCCGGTGGAGGGGGAAGTTGGTCTTGGCCTTGGGGCCGCGGAGCTCGCGGGCGGCCGCGTCGTAGGCGCGGGCTGCTTCCTCGGCGGTATCGAAGGTGCCGAGCCACATTCGACTCTTCTTCCCCGGGTCTCGGATCTCGGCGGCGTATCTGCCCCAGGGCCGCTTCCGGACGCCGCGGAACAGGTGCTCCCGGGCGGAGTCCGGGGTATTCCGCGTCGTGGGGATCGGATCTGCGGTCGTCGCGGCGGTTCCGGTCTCGGGCATGGATGGGGGAGAGAGAGAAAGATCAACAAGCAAACTTTTTCCTTCTTTCTCCATCTCGGGAACGGTGTTGGAGCAGAAGGTGGAGGAGGAAGAGATGGGCGGCCCTGAAAGGCAAAAACTTTCAGCGGGAAATTCCGGCAAAGTCTCGACCTCCGACGGACGGTCAGTTCCGGGGCTCTCCATGTCCGCGTCCACGGAGTTTCTCTTCCTTCTCTTCTTCCTGCGCCCTGTTTTCGTCTGTTGATCATCGCCCGCCGTAGAAAGGCGAAAAACATTCGGCGGTGAAAAGACGATTCCGCCATCCTCGAGCTGCTTGAGCACAGGGATGAGGTGGAATTTCCCCCGTTTATTTTATGTTTTTCTTTTTCCCCATTGGTTCTTGAGTCGTCGTCGATGAGGGGTAAAAGAAAGCGGCGAAAAGACAATTATGCCATTCTAGAGCTGCTTGAGTCATCGATGAGGTGAAATTTCCCATTTACATTATTCGTTTCTTTCCATGGTTACGCTACCGCGGGTTTTAATTTTCTCTTCGATTAATTTCGTAGAGAATATTTCCTCCGTCCATCCATGTGACATCCATGTGACATCCGACGTGGAGATAAGCTCACAAAATATATTATAGAACAAAACTATTGCTTCTTCAAAGTAGAAAGAGGGTGTCTGGAAAAATAGAAAGGAATAGGCCAAGTGAAACAGAGAGAGAGGAGCACGTTGGTGGAACGCTGGAAGCTGTAGACGCGGCCTCAGCAGTGCCACCGCCGGCGCCCATGATCTCGGCGTCATCGCAAACACGCTCTCCCTATCCCTTTTGTGCTTGGATCTAGCACCGCATGGATCATGTCGAAACTCTCTCTTTCCGAGATGAGATAAATCGTCCTTCCTCGCTCCGAACACTCGTGCCGATATTCAGACATACATCTAAACCCTCTTTATCTCGTAGAATATGTGAATGTATAATAAACAGGAAACGAGAGACAGTGGCATTAACACAAGATTTTACGAGTTTGGAAGAGCTTCTTTTTTTTTTTTAATGGTAATCTTAGCTTTCATTGACAAAATGGAAGAGTACATATTGGCAACATCTTTCAACAGTAAATCTCTTCTGCTGGCTATGCGTTCTAAAGTAGAGTTTGTAGGAAAAACTTAATCTTTGGTTGTGTCTTGAGTTGCCCCATAAAACACTCCATAAGGTCTTGATCCATAGCCTTCTTTTAGGAAAAATGACACAAATGGTTCATGAATTTTAACCCAATGTATAATGTCATCCCTGAATTTTTAACTTGTTCAATGCGAACCCTAACTTTTGGTAAATGTTCAATCTAATCCATAAATTATACAAAAATATCCAATTTTATCCTTCTATTAATTCAAGTTAACGGAATTTGTTCATTTGATTTCCAATCCGACAAGTTGAAATGGTGAAAAAAAAAATAAAGTTACACATGAATTATCAACATAAGATATTCAACTCAAATCAAGATTTAATAATCCACGTCATCAAATTGAACAAATTAAAAAGATTATTATATTATAATTTAAGTTGATTATCTTACGTGAATAATCATGTGTGATTTTTTTTTTACAGTTCAAACATATCGGATTATAAACTAAATCGGTAAATTCCGTAAATTTGAATTAATGAAAGGATAAAATTATATGTTTTCATAAAATTTAGGGATTAGATTAAACATTTATAAAAAATTAGGGATCGCATTGAACAAATTAAAAGTTAAAGAATGATATTGCACATTAGACCAAAGTTAAAGGGTCACATTAAACAAATTAAAAGTTTAGGAATGACTTTGCACCTTGAGCCAAAGTTAATTGATCATTTGTGTCATTTTCCCCACTTTTTACACTGAATTTTCCTATTCAATTCAAGGGCCAAATTTGGCCATCTTCAATTGCATTCGAACATAAAGAAATTGCCAAAATCTTGTGGGCAACGTGTTCAGGAAAATGCTCGGAGATATCATCGTAACTTTCCGGCTTCTCGAATGGACTCCATTTATGCCTTCTGCAGAGGACCACCAGTAATTCGTAATCTTCTTTTCAATAATTCCACAGACAGATATTGGTAGTTTGAAACAAAACACTGCTTAACTTGCTATGGCACACCTAAATATCCTCCTGCACCTCGTAAAAGCGGTACTCCGAGAGTTTCTACAATATTTATCTGATGACTCTCTGGACAAGCCTTAATTAAGAGAACCCCAGATTTGTTTAGGTTTATTGCTTGTGCAGATGCATAACAATATCGATTCAAAAAGTGCAATAGCTCCTAACATTTTCCGATAGATCTCTCAAGGAAGAAGATCAAGCCATTGGCAAACAATAAATGGGACAAAACAGGGCAATCCGAGGTCAATTTTATTACTCTGAGCCAACCTATGATTAAGATCGATAGGGATTCTGCAACTAGAATAAACGGATGAGTAGACAATGGATCATCTTGTCGTAAACCTCGCAATGTATGAAATACGGGAGTAGTTCTCCATTTAACTCAACACCGAAAGAAACACCAGTCACGGAATGCGTGATCCAGTAGAACCGTATAGAGCAGAATCCTAGCTTTCATCAAATAAGCCCTTGCAAAGTCCCACTCCACATGACCATAGGCCTCGTGTCTAATTTCGAGCACAGCAACAAATTTCATCTTCCTTCACCTTCTTCGTAAACGATGCAACGCGTCATGCACAACAAAAAATTATTTTGAATTTCACGCCCCGGAACAAAGGCGCCTTACACCGGATAAATCAATTGAGGCATTAATGGTTTTTTATCGGTCAGTAATACTTTTGCTATCACTTTATAAGCAAAGTTGCATAGGCTAATTTGGCGATATTGAGTTATGCATTCCACGGTGGCACTATGAGAACTAATGTGATCTGGGTTTGGTTCAATCTAAGATATCAAACTGCCCATGTGAAAATAACTTTTAGTCTCCCTATTTCTTCGGTAGAACAATCCATTCATTCCGTCGGGTGCTTTTGTCGATCCAATCCCAAATATCGGATCTTTTCCATCAACAGAGGTCCGATGAGTCCCGCATTCATCTCAATTGATACCACCTGAGGGCATTGATCTATAATTGCGTCAAAATTTCTGTAACCTTATGTCGAGAACAAGTCACTGAAGAACTCGGTTATTATTTCTTTTGGTCGTTCAGGCATAACACACCAAGTCCCTTCAGTGTCTTGTGATAGAGAAATCTTCAGATAGCTCAAGCATGGAAGAATTTGCTACGGTGATCACTCAATTTCAGCTATCAAAACCTAGACCTCAAATGCCAATACTGCTCCTCTTGCCTCCGAAGCAAGTCGATTCTTGCTTGAATAGATTTCGGTCTTGCCCTATCAAGCTGGCCTGCTCTGTTGCTTACCAACTGAGTAAGCTGTTTTTGTAAGCTTTCCATCTCCTTCCTAGCATTCTTGAACTTCTTCTTACTCCAGGATGTCAGTGCCAAGGAAACTCTTGTAATTTATCACGGATGTCGTTGGAAGAATCAGTAGTATCACTCCGTTTCTTTGCTATCAAGCTTGGACAATCATCATGTTCCTGCCATAACTCTTCAAACTGAAACCGCTCTTTCCTCTTGGTTGTTTCCATAGAGCGAGTTAGTTAGAGGGCTATGATTGGAGCCCACTGTAGGAAGAGCTCGGATTTCAGCGTTTGGGAGGGAGGTTTTCCTATTCTACGTTCACCACTGCCCGATTGATTCATTCTCGAACATTTGCCAACCCATCCCTAATATTCAACCACCCGAAGCAGCATACCTCACTCTCTAAGTCCATTATTGACAATTATCTGAGAACTGTCTGACAATATCCAGACGAAAGTTTGTGCACCTCTCCTCCCTTTCTTCTCCCAATGATACAACAATTCTTTAAAATCTCCAGCCACGGCCTAGGCTGGGTTTGAAGGTGCATTTGAGTTCTCCATATGATGCCACAAATGCAGACAATTCTGGCGATCCATAGGAGCATGAGGTAACTTTAATCTGAATGCATTTCTTGTCATTTTTGTCTACCAGCACATCTATGTACTAATCATCAAAAGACCCGTTTAAGACTTATCAGGGTTTAGGACTAGGACTAGCCTTGTTACGAGCACTATCCGATGCCAGGACTTGTACCTCCACATCCACATTTCCATTCCACAACACGCGCGGTCCTCTTGGTGATCCTCTCGAGTCACAAATGAACATGTGCTTAGTTCAACCCCGACTAGTGAACATTGCACCTTGAAAACCTCCGGTCTGTGATATGTAGAGGTGCAAACCAAAGAGTGGGCAGAGAAAGACGAGATGGAGGGGTATTGTGAGATTAGAATTCAACATAGTCTCGGAGAAATGCTGCCTCGGCGAAGCAATTAACAGACAACATGCTATGAAATAACACGAAAGAAAATCAATATATAATAAGAAAAGGCCAAAAAACCAATTGTCTGATTCAACGAAGATCGGGGCAACAGCAATCAAATCGACTCTCACCGTACACAGCTTTCAATAAGAATTCAGCATTCATGACGCAAAAGCCCTCAGAGAACACTCCCCACATGGTCTCGGAGAAATGGTTCTACAACCTACTTTTAGGGTTATTCTTACTGCGCTGCACCTGAACGAAAGCATCCTACACAAGAAGTCCATTTTTTTCCTAATCGCAACACTCGCTCTTGCTCATGAGTTCAAAATAATATGAAACGAACATCGTCACGGTCCAATGCCCTCTTGCCGGAGATGTTCTCAACGAATTGTTCGCGATTAAATATTTTATTACTGCTAGCAAGGTTTACTGGCGGAGTTATTTCGACCCTGTGGAGATTCCATGCACATATTCGTCGCTCTGAGCAGAGCCAAAAGCCAAACTACAGTCACTCAGACAATTTGGAGGAGTTTGCGCGGCCAAAGGCTGTCTTGACAGACAGTGTTCTCGGCGGCCAAAGGCTGTTGCTCGCAGGGAACGCAAAAATATTTAAGGTGTCTCCGAGGCCAAAAGTCTCTTAATGATGACGGACAGATGGTAATATTCAAGATGTTCCAATATTTTCGCGACACAGTAAATATCCATAATCGAAATCCATATCAAACAACATATTCGAAAGGATACCTGAAAGCACTCTGCATTTCCTCTCTCCTACAAGAAGAGTTCCCATGTCTTTTCACTTTCTCTATATCTAGTTATCGTCTACATGTACAG